TTTTGATGGCTGGAAGCGTCAGCCTTCAGTTTGCATCAGCTTCAGGTCAAGAGGAGAGGAATCAACAGCAGCTCTCCATAAAGTCACAGACGGACAAACTGACAGACAGTCAGCTCCTGGTTTCTGGAGGAAATGTTGCAACATTGTCAAAAATGTGTGTCTTTCAGTCCAGAATGTGCAGCTCTTTGTGACTCTGTGGAAAACATCACCAAGCTCATCGTTTTCCCAAAACCTAACGCCACTCATTGCAACATGTTCGTGTAAAACAGGAAATAATTGTGCAGCATTTGGCTGGCTGTCAGATGAGTGACTGATGAAACAGTTAGCCAGAGCGCTGACCAACACAGCCGCCTCTGTTTTTGTGGTCACATGATAATAATAAAAAATCAGAGGTCACATATTTTACTCGCAGGATGAGTGTTTCTCTTTGTGCTTCTCTTCAGCGAATCCGTTTAACTCACTAAAGTTAGATTAGCTGCTTCTGACCAGATGAAGGCCTCAAACTCAGATAAGCTGCTTAAAACAGTCTCTAATGTGAGCTAATGTTCACTCCAACAAACCAACACAACACACCCACACCACACACACACACACACACACACACACACACACACACACACACACACACACACACACACACACACACACACACACACACACACACACACACACTCTCTCTCTCAGAGGAAGTGGGTGACTGAAGGAAGAAAAATTAAACAGGGCAAGCCTTAATTTTATTAATACAACAACCTCGTCTTAATGGGCACAAGTGGAACAACACAGAGCACAGAAGAAAGCAGAACAACGGGATGATGGATAAGCAATCCAGAGGATTAATTTAGCTAATCTCATTTAGTCAAGCAGACCTCCATCTCACCCTCATTTCTGATAAAAACCCTTTCAGTCTGCGTCTGAAACACTAAAGACTCACTTTGTAAAGGACAAGAGGCAATTCTTTCCTTTATGTAAAAAAAAAACAGAACCTGGAAGCAGAAACTGAGAAATGATACCAGAAAGTCAGAGAACTATCAGAAAATCTTGTTTTTGAGGGTAATGCTTCCAGTAGTTTTAAAATTATTTAAACATATTAAATAACAGCCTTCAGTGACCAGAAGCGCCAGCAAATAACACCTAAAAACGCTCATGACTTCATATTTTAACAGTTCAAACACTAAATTGGAGAATCCTGCAGAGGCGGACCGCTGCATCCTGGATGCACAACGGAGCGTTAACGCAGATCCTTCCAGACTTTATAACCATCACTTCTTCCAACAGACTTAGGAACTGTTTACACTCCTGCTGGCATCTGCACAGCTTTTTTAAACATTTCTGTCCAAATCTGCACATCTCCTTTTATTGTCACCTATTGTAAATATTTTGTTCACTTTTTATGCACAAATACACATGTACGTTTTGAAACTCTTTCACAAATCTGTTCACGCCTGCAGCTGACGGTGCATCCTTGGTTCCCGGTTCGGCTCTCAACAAAGCAGCAAAGTTTGAAGGAATCCAAACCGAATAAAAGTTCAAACAGCAGGAGGTTCAATAAGAAGCTTCAGTTTTTCAACTTCTACTCTGGCTTTATGTCCATGTTGTATAGATGTAGAGGATAGTCCTGTCAAAATAAACAATAAATCAATTAACATATATATATATGTGGTATAATAAAATAAAAACAAGCTAATAATTTTTATTTAAATAATTTATTGTTTTTCTCCTTCTACCAAAAACTGGATGATAAAACTCTCAACTAGCCTTTTCTTTGAAAGACTCTTTGTTTACAGACTTTATAATTCACTTTATTTACATTTCTGTTGTTTATATATTTTGTCTAAAATGTCTTCCAGTTCCAGTGTTAAAGGTCCATTAGAATACAAAGTTTACTGAGAATATGTGACCATAATATCACTTGAAAATGGTCTCAAAACAACAATGTTAATGTTTATTGCAATAACTTCTGGGACAATTTATTGTCCAGTAAAATTTGTAATTGTGCTAGGTCTTGTTGCAGCTTTAGTTTATTTCCATGTAGCTTTGATAAAAACATTTGAACCGATTTATTAAAGATGTTTACATTTCAGATCCAGTTGAGTCGAGACAGAACCAGTATTGCTCAGTTTGTGGGTATTGGTGGAAACAGAAGTGGAGCTCAGGAATCACCAGAACATTTTACTGGTTCATCTCATAAAGAAGAAATGTACTGTGTTTTCCAGACTATAGAGCGCACCTCACTATAAGCCGCACCTACAAAGTTTTCTTAAAACACTGGAAACATACATGTAAAAGCCACAGGTATCTCCGAAAAAAGGTAGCGGATTATAGTCTGAAAAATTAAAAACATTTTTAAACTAAATCTCAACATGTTATGAATAAAAATAATTAGGGAATAAAAATCTGCTGAAACCAAGATGGCTCCACGACAGAGAGAGCTTGTTTGGGATTACAAAGTAAAAAACTGCTCCATGTTTATTGTAGTTTTGTTCTTTATGAATAAACTCTGCTCAGTAATTGAATTAGTCGCCTGGCAGCAATAGTGAGGTCATTCATCGCCGTCGGTTATGAAACAAACAGAAGGTCTATCAAACATCATCCAATTGGAGAAAACTGGATCATTTTCAAATTTTCTTCAACTGAAGCTTTAAAAGACGTCTTCATATTTCTACTGGCATCCAGCAGATATTCAGCTGTCCTCTTCATTTTGTTTTATTTTATCTTCCTAATTGAAACTCTACCAGGTACCTCGCTGAGTGGTTATGCTTTTATTGCGTGGGACTTTAATAGCGCTCTAATGGAGTATTGACTGGGAAAAAAAAGAAGTCATCTGGAAGACAATAAAGAATATTTTATTTTATTGTATCGCAAATTAAGACCAGAGTATTTAAACATATGGATTACTTTCATTTTGGCTCCCTCTAATGACAAGATTTAAATGGGAAATAAAATGAAATCAGTGAGACTGAAAGTAAACCTTCAAATATAATCACAGAAACTGTCATGTTTAATAAATCAGAATATGCTTTCTGATTGAAAGTTAAAGAACCTAAAAGCAGGTATTAAGAGTCTTCATTTCTCTATTAAAATGTTTTTTCTGAAATAGGAGCATCATATTTTGGCTGCATTCCCACCAGGCCCGTTTAATCCGACTCCAGTCTGTTTGTTTCTGAGTCCGGTTTGGACCAAGCGAACTCTGGTCCTCCAAACCTCGATCTGGGTTTGGCTGAAGTGACTCTGGGTCCGTTTGAATGTGAACGTCAAGTGGACCAGAGAGCTCTTCAAAAGCAGGAAGTGGACTACAGCGCAGGGCATTCTGGGTAAAGCAAACATGCTAGCCTAGCGCTAGCAGCAGAAATGGCTCCTGGTCTTTAGCCAAAGACTAAAGAGAAATCCTCCAACAGGAGAACGCCTCCATCTTGTTTCCATTTGATAAAAAGGAAGTTATGCTCAGTGTCTCCAGAGGTTTTAGTGTCGTTTCCTTCAGTGGTTCTTGGTGCAGCGCCCCACAGGCCAGGAGGGGAACCGGTGGCTCAAAGGGTTTGGCTGGTTAGACTCAGCACATTGTGAAAGTTGATAGCATCTCAGCAGACCCAACGCATGCTGGACATAAGCTGTTTCAACCTTCAGGTTAGCGCTACAGAAGCAAGTTTCCCCCCAGACTGTCGCTCTGATTGACACTAATCTGGAGATACTCAGAGCCCAGATCGATATAACATGTTTGTACTGATTCAACCTCGTCTTCTTTTTTTAAAGAAGAAAAATACTGTAAAAATGTATGGCAACTAACCAACAAATGGCAGCTGAATGAGGAGTTTATCTGCATTTATTTTGCCTTCAGGTCATGTTGGAAAAACAAACCCAACAAATAACTGGAAGCTGCTGTGGCAGGAACATTAATTATTCATCTGAACTCTTCTGGTTTCTGAGTGATTATACGCCCATTTTTATTTATTTTTTTCTCTAATCTAATCCTACATCCTTAGTTACTGGTGTTGCTAGAAGTTTGATGGTATCTATGCCTGAAGGAGACATCGACCTTTTAACCTCTGGTTCGTAATCCTGATTGAGTGCAGCTGCTAGTTTCTGTTTCTGGATGATATTCCAATGTTCCCAAAAACTTCCAAACAGAGCAGCAAGTTTCTGGAATGGCATTCCTAAAGCTCTGACCTCAACCCTTTTAAAAAGTAATGGATTTTTAACCAGGCTCTTTTGCAGGAAACCATTTAATTTGTAAACTCCAACTTAGCCAAGAAAAAAAAAAGGTCAAGCGTTTCTGAGAATTAAGGCAGACATGTTTTGAACTCAGTGATTTAAGTATTGCTGCACCTGACTGTGGAGAAAAGGAGAGACTGAGATAAATCATTTATAAATAAACAAACTTTTGACAGCAGAATATCTAATGTCTTGATTTAACCAAATTCTCGTCCCATTGAAGAGTCAAACCAGATCAGAAACAGATTATTCTTCACAGAAAGTAATCTGGAATAGTTAGAAAGCTACACAAGTATAAATAATTAATCACAAATTCTGCAATAGTGCATTATTTCATTCAATATTAATAAAAACAAGCGCCTGCAGATGATGGACGATGTGAGACTGGAGGAGGAGGAACTCCTCCCTGAAGCTGACAGAGTCCTGTTTCCTCCTGACTACAGGTGACAGCAGAACTCGACTGACCCTGAGAAAAATCCAACGTCTCCCTGACTGCTTTCATTTTTCCAGGCCAGACTGCCACTCCTACCTCGATCCACATGGGGATTTCATAAAGCAGACACACACACTTTGGGTCAAATTTAAATCAATGTACCTTCTGGGTTCTGCAGTCCAGATTAAGGCGTCCAGAACTCGTTTGAGTGTTTCCCAGACCAACTCAGAGACATTTGAGCTTTGCGTACCTGCGGCTGTGTTACGTAAGAGACGGTTAAGCCTCCAGCTGAGCTTCGTCCTGACACACAAACACACTGACACCCAGACACACGCAGCGGCCTGCGAAGCCTTTGTTTTACCTCTGCAGGTGTTTCCCCGTCTTCCCGTCTTTTATCCCTCTGTTTTATCCCTTCGGTTTCTCCTCCTCACATTCCTGTCTCCATCTCCGCTTCTCCTTTATCTCAGCATCTTTTCACTTCAGTCTCCTGGCTCGTTCCCTTTCTCCACTCTTTTCTTCTTGCTTTGAATCTGCAGTGGATCATAAAACACACCCTTCAGAGCTCCGTCTCCAAACCCCCGTTGCTCTGCTCCTGGCTCTGATTGGCTCATCCGCACCGATGACATCAGCCTCCTCCATCGCAGCCTCCCTCTCCTCTCCATCTATTCCCTCGGTACTTCGCGCCCCTCCTTTCTTCTTTACATCCATCTCTCTTGGTCCCATATCCTGCTTTTCATTTTTACTGGTGGTGAACTGGTTAGATTGTTAGAACACCACTGGGGAAAACAAAAAACACGCCTCTCTGTTGTTCCTTCAAAACGCTGCTGCATCACGTCTCTGTATGTAGGGATAGAAATTATTTCAGTAATCAGTAGATTCAGATTTACCTTTAAGTATCAACTGATTTTATAACAAAATTTAAAGTTTTATTGTCACAGTAAAAATTGTTATTATTATCTACAAACTATAATATTATTGTTTTGAAACCATTTTCAAATAATATAATGTAATGGCATAATGACAATGCAAGAACACATTCTCAGAGATCAATAAACTTTAATTTCTGATAAATATTTAACACTGGAACTGGGAAAACATTTTAAATATCTTCAATAAATAAACAAAACTACAGAAACAACAAATAAAATGAATTATGAAGTAAACAAAATATTCCTTTCCAGAAGGACTGGTTGACTTTTATCATCCATATTTTGATAGAAAGAAAAATGATAAATCATGCAAATGGAAATTATTGAGCTCGTTTTAATTCATCAGGCAATCATTTGATTTATTGTGAAAGGCCTAGCATTATATTTATGTTAAAAAACATTCATGAAAGATGCTTTTTACATTTTCCAACTCTAGGCACTTTAACTAGTAATTTCACATTCATTTTTAATGAATAAATGGAGTAAATTGTATTTTTTGTGATATGGATTTTTTTGTATCAATTATAATGTTATTTTTTATGCATATACTTTCACTAGTTTTACTATATGGAAATATAAAACTGTAAATTTTTTGCTGTTTGTTTTATTACATCTTCAGCCATATTTAATGTTTAAACTGTTCTGGGACAGTGAGATTCTGAAGAGATTTTCACACAATCACTAATCAGGTTTTCAGATTTATTTATTTTTTTATTGATTTATGATTTTATTATTTGACTACCAAATGTTTTGCTTAAGACTAATCCTGTAAAATCTTTGGAAATGTTTTGATAATTTAATCCAGTTTAATTTCTGAATGTTAATAAATTAAATAAAGTTATTTTGTCTTCTGTCATCAGCTTGTTTCTCACTGCTGCATTTTTCTGTTGAACCACTAAACTTTAATCTGTTCCCACTATTACTCTGACACATTTTCTACATCCAGTCTTTTAATTTGAAGGCAAATTAAAAGACTTAGGTGACCACTAGAAGGCGCTGCCACTCGCAGTTTTAACACGATGACTGCATATAGTTGAATTTCTTTGTTTTAGTGGTGCTGTGGGCTTCGTTCACCCTTTCTCCCATAGAAAAGATGAGTATCGCCATACATCCATCGGCCGGTACTTAATGAAGTCCATCTTCCAGTCAGTCACCAATTCTTCATAAATCTAACAGAGGAACCATGGTTTATCTGGCAGCAACTGCGTTTGCACCAATAAGAAAATCCAGACATTTTCTTTGTATGTTTTGATATTTAGTATTTAGGAATTGTTTTTCTTTTTTTAAAGGGATTATAGCAAAGTCCTGTAATGCCTCTCAACCTATGAGAGGGAATAGACAATGGATGGGTAATTGCTTGTGTGCATTTATAAATTAATAAAAACCACAGCATCACAGTCATGAAATAAATTAGTCTCATATCCAGTTTGTGCTGTTGGTTGTTCAAGAATTTTTGAAATTTGAGAAGAGGATTACCTAAGATATAAAACAACGGATATATGGTGTATTTAAATTATTTTATTTCATATTTTCAGGGTTATTGTCATAATAACAAGTCATAAATGTTTTACACCTGCTGTGGTGAGAGGAACCATATTGTTTGTTTGTTTCATTTCCTGTTTTTATTGCTGCTGTTTCCAGTCATTTTGGCAGCCATTTTCATTCTGGCAGCTTTTTGAAGCCGGGTGCAATATGGCGACCCATTTGTGCCCTTTTTGTCAAACATGTTGGGAGCCCTATGATAATCGTTGTGAATGCCCCCCGCGGTTGGATGTGGCTCGTTTGATAAAGGATGTGGCAACCCCATGTGGTGCCGCTGATCTCACTCTGCTAGAGCATATGTCGGGCTGGAACCGTGTGTCTGAGGAAAAACACTAGGAAACGTTTCTGCAGCAGTAACCAAAAGCAGACAGGAGCGTTTACAGGATAACCCAACATGGTGGGAGGAAAACTATATGAGGCAGTAAAGTCCATCTGGGATTATATCCACAGCAGCAGTAAAAGAGCACTAAAAGAGCAAAAAATCATTTCTTTGTTGTTTAAAAACTATTTCTTTTTAAAGTGGAGCTATTTTACATCAAATATTTGGGGAATCAAACAAATTTACACAAAAATAGAATTTGCAAATAAACTTAAAAACAGCACACTTAGCAACGAGTTTAGATGGTTTATTTGCAAAAAAAAAGAGGTTTAGTTAGTCTTTAAATGGTGCTGGATTTTTAAGGAAATTGGTAGAAATGTGGGTTGAGCCCATTAAAAACACAAAGCGATAAGATTCTGCATCAATTCCAAGTTACAGAGCACTCAAACGCCAACCAAGAAACACATTTTACACATTCAGAAAAAGATTTATGGCACACACTGAACACCATACATGTCAAAACAAAATGGGAAATATCACTAAAACTTCCATGGGAACAACAAAGACAGGTCTGTATTAACTATCACAATCCAATCAACCACAAATTCTGCAAAAAACTAATTAATAATGGGATATCTCTACATGTTTAAAGTATAAATAAAAATTATAAAATTTACTTATTTTGCCATTTGCTCAAGTGGCTTTTTCAGGACGAAAAAACAGTTTTATAGCCATTAATTTAGTTATTATCTGAAGTGTTAAAATAAACTTATGCTAACGACTATGATGTTTCTAATTAAAATAATAAAGCCATAATATTGTAAAGTCATGCTATTAGTACAATAAAGAGTCGTTTTAATGAGAGCAATGCTTAAATAAATAAGCGCTGACGTGACCAGACCTGTAAAAATTACTAATAACTACTTCATTCTCCTAATTTACAACCTTATTCTGGTGATCTTATCATTGAGTTCTCATGTTTTATCCTGTCCTTTCTATTATCAATAGTAAGAAACATTAGCCTGATGCTAACACGCCGCCATTAAAACGATGCCATCGTATTTTATTAACTCACCGTCTCCTGCCGTTAACTTTCAGCTCCTCCGTCATGACGGCGTGTCTTGAACAGTAAAAAACGACTTTCTTTGCATTCCGGTGTCTTACCAACCTGATATCTGTCCATTATTACCTGCAGCTAGGCTAACAAATGGAGGGGTAAGCTAGCACAGCTAGCGAGTGGCTAACCAACGGACGTTTAATGGCGGATCATTTTGCGCCGGCCGAACATCGTCGGCAAACGTTCAGCGCTGGCCGTGGCGTTGCAGTCTGTTTTGATGAGTTTATACAGTTTTCATATTTTAATCCTCTTCTTTGCTACCTGATGTAATATTAAACGTCCTTTCTGTCTTTATCGCTGGGTTGTTCAGTCAGGTTCAGGAGAAATTGCTGGTGTTGGACCATCTGTAACGTTTAAACTGCTGCCATTATGGCTTTTCAAGAGAAGAAAGCAGGTTATTGCCATATCTTCTGCTTTGCAAATCGAGTTTGTTTCGAAGCAGCTTTCTGCTCCATTATCTCCTCCAGATCAAGTGGGTGGTTTTTCTCCTCCATGCATTTCCTCCATCCTTCTTCACTAAAGCTTTAATTGAGTTAACCTCAGTGTGTGCAGGAGAGAGGATGGTCAAAACGTAACAATCAATACAATAGATGCTGATCATGGTTTGTGTCCCTGTCTCATGTCTGCCTTTGTCTAGGACATGTCATCAATACACTGAGACGTCTGGAGGGATGCTGCTTACTAGAAACGTGACTCATTCTTCTAGACTGGAACACAAAATATGCAGAAACACGCACACACGCACACGCACGCACACACACACACACACACACACACACTCACTCACTCTGATAACTTGTCATCAATGACAACCTGTCATAAATCCGCCTCTTCAATGTCAAATTATAAGGACAGCAAAGAAGAAACGGAGGATAAATATTTTAACAAAAATGTCTTGCATGTTTTTTATTTTTGGTTCACAATAATTTGGTTTTGGTGATTTTAGGTTTCTATGTTGGGCTTATAAAATTTCGTCTCACGCATTCTTTTTTTTTTTAATTATCCCACTATTAAACCTTAGATTTAAACGACTGCAGTTTAAACCAGGGATCCTCAAAGCCCCAAACAGCATTGGCTTCTGGCAGCGACAAAATAAGTAAAGAATTATACTTTGGAATGTGTTTTATTTGATATTCCTTATTTATTTCCTTCATTTGGTATAAATACTGTGTCATACATACTGATTTTAGATGGCCATAAGATCTGTTGCATAAAACTTTATTATCAGAAGACATTTTATGATTTAATAACCGAATTATGAATATGTAATATTTTATATCAATCACATCAAAGTTGATATATCACCCCAGTTTTATGTGTTTTTGCAGCAGAGCTCAATTCTTTTGGTATTTTTTCCTGTCAGAAACGTTTCCATTTGCTTTCAGGAGCAAAACAACTTGATGAATTTCAGCCAATCAGAAACATTTAAATACATTATTTAACTTATATATGTTTGAATTGAAAAACATAAAGCAAAAATTAAGAATAAAAATTTTTTACATTTTTGAATATTTTTCTCATTGTCTCTCTAACTTTGAGGCCCCTCTGGCGCCCCTTGGTGGTTCTCCAGGGGATTGCAGCCCCAACATTGACGTAAACTATAATTATTTAATTAAATTAAATTCTCATTTTCCTCTGCAGCCTGGTGTTACTCTTCTGTTTACCTCCAGTAGCCATCTTGCTGCTGTTGGGAGACAAATGTTGATAAAGTGGAATATTTTTGTATCTTTTGGGAATGTTTGTTAATGTGATTTCTTGATTGTATGTTTATAATGTCTTTTTGTTGTTTGGGTCTTCCTGTCTTGGGACTACAGATGGAAATTAGCAACTATGCTATAATCTGGCTCATTTACAGTCTGTACAGAAGTATTGATTGTTCATTAATGTGCACTGTCCCTAATAAATTAAAATTAAATTTTGATGGTTTCTGTCGCAGAAGGAAAACAAACCGTCATGCTTCTGCTCAGCTAGTAAAATGTCTATAAGTCTAAGTAAAATACTACCCACCGGGTTTATTGAATGTTTTATAATTTCACAATATTTGAAGTTAAATTGAAGATGCCAGGGAAATTACCAAAGCGCTATTTGTGTGTTAACCACCAGAGGGCGCTCTGATCTAGAATATAATACTTTTCTCTGTTCTGTAGAGTAATTTAACTTCCTGATAAGAACTGCTCGGAATTTATACGTGTTTAAGATTCATAGCAGAAGTAAAACTGTCTGAAAAATGAAACATTTGGTTTGTTTCTGGTTTTGTTGCCCTGGTAAGGTGAGGACTTGACCTTCCTGTCTGCACGGTTAGGAGGATTTGGTTGTAGATTCATAATAAAGAGACAAAAGAAGAAATGAAAACAAATGTGCAGTAGAGATCAGAGAAAATCTCATTTTAAAGTGAGAAATCAATTATTCTGACAATCATTCAATCAAACAGAACTAATTTGCCACATTCTGCAGATTTTTCATGTGACTACATAAAAGCCTTGGTAGGGATTATCTGGACCGTTAGACGGAGAGCAGGTCAGAGGTCTGTGACCGGCCTCACACAACACTAGTGTGTCTGATTGTGTCTCTGTGTTGTGATGGATGTATGCTGGGAAAATAAATAGTAAAATAATTCAGCTGGAGATGAAAAGGGTTTCTGGGAAAATCTTTTAGAGTATCTTCAAAATCAGCTTTATGTTGTGACTCTAACCTGCTAGTTAGCTCTGATGCTGATTAACATTCAGAGCCTGATATCAGCTGGAAAAGGTCCAGTCAAGAAGAGACTGGTCATTTTATTCTGGAGCTGGCAGCAGTTTCTAAAAGTGGATTCAGTTGAAGGTACTGAAGGGTCGGCTTGATGGGCAGCAGGAGGAAACGTTCCCAGTTCCTTGCTGCCTCTTGATGAGTGGAAATGAGCACAACGTGTCAGTATCTGCAGCTGAAGAGCTAATGACAGCATTTCTCTCAAAAAGACTGGAGAGGATCTCTGCAAGACTCGGTGAATGACTCAACGTTCAGACTCAACATTCAGACTCTCCAAAATACTTCAGTACCGAACCCACAGGGGGCAGTGTAGCGCAAAGGTGAAACCAATCAGAATCCTTCAGAACAACAACTTCCTGTTAGGAATCCAACATGGCGCCAGGAGGGTCACTAACAGGTCGCCCTGCTTTTAAATGGCCTATTATAACCAGAGATGATACGTGGAAACAACGTGAATGTTTATTCAACATTTCGTGCAAAAAATATAAATAATTTATCGTGACAGGCCTACCATAAGCTTTTATAATTTTACATTTTAAGGCTATTTCAAAGTCTTATTTTAAAGTATTAAAATTTCACCCTTTGTGAAAAATATCAGGTGTTTTGGTTTAAGGCCCTATTCCTGTCAGTGACATCAATTTCTAACTTTTATACTGCAAAAAAACTAAATATCACTCAGTATTTTAGTTTCTTGTGTAAATATCTTAATACACTTGAAATAAGAGAAAACTAACCTACCAGCAACTTCTCACCAAAATACAGGAGTTTGTCTTAAGTTAATAATTTCTTAATGTTGATTAGAAAATACTAGTTCCACTAGATGAAAACATGAGGAAATATGTAATTATAAGTGAAATAATCTAACAAAGGAAAAAGTCGTTTTTCATCAATATTAAGGAATTGTTGACTTAAAACAAGCTCATATTTCTTGAGGAATGTTATTTCTAAGTTAGTTTTGTCTTATTTCGGGAGCACTAAGATATTTGCACTGGAAAGTGGACAAAAGATACTGAGACTAAGATTGTGTAAACAAGTTTCAGTTCATTTTCTGAACTGAAAATGAACTTTGTATGGAATGTAACTTTGTATGGAATAAACATAGTAAGTGCAAATAGTGTAAACAGAAAAACATGATGTAATAGTCCCAGTTATAACGGCGTGCAGTGGAAAAACTTCCCGCACTGCTTTACATGTACATTTGCTTGAACACGATGCATTTTGTTGTGTTTTCAATGTCATTAAAACCTCTTTAGAAAGCTCCCTCTCCCACTGCTGGGCTCCCGCTGCTTCCTGACACTTATTGATGTTGTTGCCTGGAGGGGCCGTGACTCCCACAGTCACTACTGCAGTCACGGCGTGGGAACACATTACAGCCTCGCATCAGCACGAACAAGCTGCTCTCCCAGTTCCACCACTCCACCGCTTCAGCTGATCAGACAGCAGGCTTTGTTACCGACGTACATTAATCTGCATCAGGGGAGCATTGAATCATAACACAGGATCAAATGGGGAAACATTCAAAGCAAATTACTCCTGATCTGTTTTAGAGATTGTTCTGATGTGCTGCCTGTGCACAGAATCAGTGAGATAATTCATCTCAAACAAATACATCATAACATTTCACAGGATCTGATAAAATTTTAAGCTATCTAAATCAAGGCACCCAAGAAAAAACATATTAAAAGCACTAATGTAACAGGCCTCTACTGATTTTATTCCAAGCAGATAGTAAAATTATAGCATGAAGTGATTACATGGAAAGGAAGCTCGTTTTGAAGTTAAACTGCTCCGATTTGGAAAATAGCGTCCAATTTAAAATAACCAGTTTCACGAGTCTGCAAAACCAGGGTTGTCCAAAGTCTGGTCTGGGGGCCAATTATGCTTCTGTGCAATTATGAACTGCAACCCATAACTGCAATTATGAAAATCTAGCCTGTCCATCAGTGCACATGCAAACTTTTTATTTTTAATTAAATGCTTACCCTGATTAAAGATAATGTCTTATGTTGTAATTTTCTCACAATAGAAAATTAAAAATTTAACACAAAGGAATTTGAAAACTAAAAATTTGTTTTAATACAGAAAATCAGATTTTTTTTTTAAAGCTTTGGATTTTTTTTTTTTTACAAAAAAACTTTACTGCTTGATTTTAATCTTTCTATTATTATTTAATTGCTATTCATCTGTCAATTTTGGCCCACATGACAATAAGTTTGGACACTTCTGCTCTAAACTAATATTTCCAAATACTGTCAGTATATGAGACAATATCAGTCGTGATATCTTCCTATTTTCTTGTTTTTCCTCCTCAGCTGGAATCTGCTAATAGCTCATTTTTAGCGTTTTTACTAACTTTTAGCCATGTTTTGTAAACTTTCAGTTGACTAAAGTTTGACATCTGTGTTGAGGTTTTGGTTATTGGCTGTTGAGTTTCCAAGCATTTAGATGTTCCTATTAATGCTTTTATTTTGAAGGCTGT